AGGAATATTTGAAACATTCCGGTACATGTTTTTACAAAAACAATTGGGACCAGGTGATTTTCAGAAGCTGCCATGTCTAGGTTACCACCAAGGCCAGAACTACAATCCAGAACTCCTAATTTCTTGTTTAGTATGCTTCTCCCACACAATTACAGGAAGTTGTTATTATTATTTTTAAATCCTTACCTGAGGATATATTTATTGATTTGAGAGAGGGAGGGGAAGAGAGAGAGAAACATCAATGTGAGAGAGAAACTGATTAGTTGCCTCTCATACAAGCCCTGACTGGGGATCAGGCCTGAAACCTAGGTATGTGCCCCAACTTGGGAATAAAACCCACAACCTTTTTAGTGTACTTGATGATGCTCCAACCAGCTGAGCTACTCGGCAGGGGCAGAAAGTTATTCTTAAGCTCAGAATCATTTAGTATCACCCCCACTATGATAAATTCTTATCCTTTTATAAAAGTGCATTATTAAACAGCCAGTCTTCAAATGCTCTGCTAACTTAAGTAATAAGGTGTCAAACATAGTACAAATGATATTACCTTGGCCTGCAAAGGTTGAATTTCAGTACATGTAAAAGCAAATCCTGATCCTTATAATACATCTTTCATAATAGAGACCATTTGTCAAGGTGCATAAAGGCATGTTAGAGCAATGAGGGGCATTAAAGCAAATAACTTGGTAACTCCAATAGAAATGAACGCCCTCACTTAATGCAAGCTGATCTGAGATGTCAGGATATTTGCCTTCATTCTTTCGTTTGTTTAAATTTGTTTAAAAAAGAAGATGCATGTAGTGAAGGAAGCTGACATGGGCCATGGTTAGTTTGAAAACTATTTTAATCTGTTTTAGTGAATCACTTAGAATTCATATTTAAACATGAAATCTAATTTTCCAATTAATTTCACAAGAGATGCTTTTTATATTGATTGCCCAAGTGGTCCCACTGTTTGTGTCAGGAATATCTAACAAGGGCAATGCTAACAAGCAGTTCCCTTAAAATCAGTGTTTGCTGCTAAACTTGACACAGTGTTGAGCAGCTAAGGATTCAGAGTAGTTCTACAGGCACTACTCAAATGATTTTAACTTAATATGAAAATGTTTAGCAAGTCCATGACCTTCACAGTGGACATTGGAAGTATAATTGTTTCCTTTGACTTAATTATCACTATTTTGTTAACTTTCAGTTTTCTTTTATTTTTATATTTACCTCTATTCACCATTTTCATCTTTTCCTAATACCCAAATTTCCATCAGTTTTCTTCGGCTGAGGAACTTTTTTTACTATTTCTTGTGGTATGGATCTGCACACTACAGTGATGGTTTCACTTAATTTTTGTTTATCTGAAACATCTTTATTTCATCTTCAGTCTTAAAGGATATTTTTATTAGATATAAAATTCTCATTGGACCGTTTTGTTTTTCCTTTCATTTTTAGCCTCCATTTTTTCTAAGGACAACTTAGCTGTCATCTGTAACCACATTCTATTATGTATTAACTAGAGGCCCAGTGCATGAATTCGTGTACCTGTGGGGTCCCCCGGCCTAGCCTGTGGGATTGGGCCGAAACCAGCTCTCTGACATCCCCCGAAAGGTCCCGGATTGCGAGAGGGCACGGGCTAGGCCGAGATCCCACTGGAACATAATCAGGGCCAGGGAGGGACATGGGAGGTTGGCCAGCCAGGGAAGGACCGTTGGAAGGTCTCCAGGGTGTGTCTGGCCTGTCCTCAGCCCTGATCGGCTGGACCCCAGCAGCAAACTAACCTACCAGTTGGAGAGTCTGCCCCCTGGTGGTCAGTGCACGTCATAGCGACTGGTCTACTGTCTGCCCCCTGGTGGTCAGTGCATGTCACAGCGAGCAGTTGAGCGGCCTTAGCATATCATTAGCCTATTACATTTTGATTAGTTGAATGGACAACCAGACGACCAGACACTTAGCATATAAGATGTGTCATTTTATCTGTTTTCAAATTGTTTCTCTTATTTTAGGGGTTTCAACTATTTGAGTATGATTTGAATTTTAAAAATTCTTGACGTTTTCTCAACTGCTTAAATCTGTAAATTTATGATTCTTATAAATTTGAGAAACTTTGTCCATTATTTTAATATTTACAATATTTTTGCTCCCACTCCTTTTCCCCCACCTATAGCTAAGGATACATATGTTACACTTTTTAATGTTGTACCACAAATTACAGGGTTCTGTTTCTTTCATTTAATATTTTTATTCTTGTAGCCTCAAACTGGGTCATTTCTACCAGTTTTACTGATACTGATTCTTTGGTCTGTTTTCTCTAATCTGCTCGTAAGCCCAGCTAGTGAATTTTTTCTTTCAGATATTAAATTTTTAATTTTTAAAAATTTTTAGTTTTTATTCCTCTGCTGAGATTTCCTATCTGTACCTTGTTATTATTTTACTTTATGTTCTCATACATAATTATAATGGGCACTTTAAAATAATTATCAGCTAATTCCATCACATGGGCCATCTTGTGGTGATGTTCATTGATTCCTTTTATTCTTGACTTTGGGTGACATTTCCTTGTTTCTTCATATCTCTAATTGTATACTGAACATTACTCTGTTTTCTGCTATGTTCTTCTGAAAAGTGTTTATTTTTGTTTTAGTGGGTTCTTAATCATGATGAAGTCCCAAACTGTATTATATGTTCAAAACCAGACTTGTTCTCACTCTTGTGTTATGTAAATAGCTGCTGAAATGTTTATTCTTTTTAGCTTTAAACAGGCTGCTTGGACTCTGCCTATATACATGTAGTTCATGAATAAGCCAGATATTTGAGCAGAATTTGAAGCTTTCTTCTGTGACTGTTTCCTTTCCAGATGAGAAAGAGGAAAGAAGACCTTGACAACTAACAACTGGCCTAGAAGTAACAGGTCAACTTTCTGTGGCTAGGAGATAGCCAGACACTCACAATAGGCTGTAGAATTCTATTGCTTAAGATAAAAAGAAAATCTCAGAATACAAATATCAGCTAGGGCTAGTCTGTGGCCATGATGAATCAAGACAAAAATAAGATCACTCTATAATCATATCCAAAAGCAGACAAAAACAAGAACATTATCCAATCCATAAAAATGTGTCCAATCCATAAAAGTGACTAACCCCCCCCCCATGGCTAATATGACTATTGCTTCATTAGCAATCTTAAGAAACATCAAGATGGCCAAACCTAGAATTACATTTACTTCTTCCTAATACCATCAAATCTAGAGCAAAACCCAGCTTCTTGAACAGTCCCCAAAAGAACATAGTACAAGCCCAAATTCTAGAATAGGTGAGATGATAAGCCATTGTTCCTCATGGTGTGTGTTCTCATTTCTCATTCAATAAATCCAATTTTGGTCACCAGGTGTTTTCCTTGATCTTTGGTTAAAACAGCGGTTCTCAACCTGTGGGTCGCGACCCCTTTGGGGGTCGAAAGACCCTTTCACAGGGGTTGCCTAAGATCATCGGAAAAACATATATATAATTACATATTGTTTTTGTGATTAATCACTATGCTTTAATTATGTTCAATTTGTAACAAAGAAAATACATCCTGCATATCAGATATTTACACTACGATTCATAACAGTAGCCAAATTACAGTTATGAAGTAGCAACGAAAATAATTTTATGGTTGGGGGTCACCACAACATGAGGAACTGTATTAAAGGGTCTCGGCATTAGGAAGGTTGAGAACCACTGGGTTAAAGGGTAATGGCACAGAATGTCCTCTTTAATTTCTCAGGAACTAGTACTCCCTAAATTGACCTCTGATTTTTCAAGTCACTTAAGCTATCTAACTTCTAGTCACTCTACACTCTCATGTGTGTTCTTCCGTGAGGCAAAAGCAATAAGAATCCTAGGAAACTCATTAGTACCATTCTTTTTTTCCAGTTTCTGCCTACTTGTGGTTGGTTCCTAGTGCCTTCAGAAGATCTTTTACTGTCATTTTCCCAGTATTTATAATGTTATCTCCAAGAGGTTGTTCTTACATGAATTTACCTTTATTAAAGAATACATTATTATTTTTTTGTTACTAGAAAATATTACTATGTGTCTTATAATCTGTTCCTACATAGGCAAACTCATTATGATAACACAATTTAGTAGTACCCATTATACGTCATTGTAGTGAGTAGGCATAGAGTTATAGTTGCTAAATGAGTAATTTGGAAACTTAAAAGTGCCAAATATATCATTTACTGTGAGACTTGCTGGACTTTCACCATCCTTCTGTTGGGTAGGAATCAAAAGACTTATTCAAACAGTACAATTCTAAGAGTTTCCAGGTCTAATTTTAGAATTATTTAAAATTATCATTATAGTAAGTATATCGATCTGACCCACAAATATGTTGCTAGAAAATATCATTGACAAAACTTGTAACCAGTGCTTTTGGGAAAATAATTTGTCACTAGAACTAAATGATACCTTGAAATTGAATTTGATGTGAGCATTAATTTTCTCAAACCTTTTACAAAGCTTTGTACTTAACTGTTATATATCAGGAAACAAGTCACTGTTTTATTCCTAATAGGAACCAAGGCCTCTAGAAGGACATTCTTTCCTGTATCATTTAAAGTCCAGTGTGTTCTCCTGTGGGATATATTTGTCTGGGTTCTGTCTGGAAAGACAAAGCTAACATTATTTACTTTTAGAGTTTCTCCTGGTGTAACTTGTGGGTAATATACATCATTATTCATGTAGATCAAGACATGAGATTTAGAGATACTTTTATGTTTCTTTGGCCATTGCACATATTGATGTGTTGTGTTTTTTTTAACCACAAAACATTTTATTTACAAAATATGTATACTGAAGACTATACATCAGGCCCTGTCACCATGGGAAGCTCCCAAGCCAAGTCAGGGAGGGCTAAAGGGGCCCACAGGGCAAAGCTCTGCCCACCCCAAGAGGAAAAACCCCTAGTGCCTGGGAGCAGGCTCAGCCCACAAAGGACTACACACGAAGGGGGATGGGTAGGAGGAGTGGAGACCCAGTGCCCAGCAGAGGGCTGGGTGGGCAGGTGGGAGGGGAAGCAGCAGGCGGCAGGACCCCATGGTTCTGAAGGTGAGGGTGTCAGGTCTTGACATCCAGCAAGGGCATCCGCTTGTGCTGGTAGCCACTCTGCCAGCCGTGCACCATCTTCGGGTCTCCCACGTCCGAGAGTAGCTCCTGCTCAGCCTCATGCAGCTCCTCAGCGGGGTCATAGCTGTACATGGGGAGCAGGTGATGGTGAAGCCTGTCCCCCCGCTTTTTCTTCTGGACGTACATTACCACAGCCACCACCACCCGGATCAGGGTGATGAGGAAGAAAGGGCCCAACACATAGCCCACCATAGAGTCGCTGTTGGCCTGGGGGGCACTGGGCACTGTGGTGTTACTCTTGACAGCAGCTGGAGGACTGTGTAGTCAGCATGGGCAGTGCCTCCGGAGGGCGCCTCCACTGGGCTCCCTCCCGCCGCTGCAGCCCAGACAGGAACGCCCTCGCTTGGCTCCCGGGCCCATATTGATGTGTTTTAAAGTGTAAACAATTCTTTTGGCCGGACAGTGTGGCTCAGTGGTTGTGTGTCAGTCTATGAACCATGAGGTCACTGTTCAATTCCCGGTCAGGACATATGCCCTAGTGAGGCTTGTTCCCCAGTGGAGGGCATGCAGAAGGCAGCCAATCAATGATTCTCTTTCATCATTGATGTTTCTATCTCGTTTTCCCTTTCCTTCCTATCTCTGAAATCAGTAAAAACATATATATATTTTTAAAGTAAATGATTATATACATTATATCTGCCTTATGTCAGCATAGACATTTTTATAACAGTTTTTGGAAGTGTGAATATTCCCTTTTTTGGAATAGAGAATATTGTAAAGGCTAATAATATTACACCTGCCCTGTAGCCCTCTTGCCCCACACCCAGTACTCTCATGGTCCCCTTAGCCTACTCTATCCTTATTTCAGAAGACATATTGCTTTCTCCCACACTGCATATTTATATTGTATTTACTTATATTCATTGTTTATATTATGCTTATGTGTATTGTCTAACTCCTCCTGCTAGCATGCAGAGTCCACAAAGGTAGGGATATTTGCCTGTTTTGTTCACTAAAGTCATCTCTTGAATCTAGAGTCATATTTGACATGTAAAAGTTCCTCTCCATATATTAAATGAACAGATAAAAAGAAATAGTTTATATAAGCCAAATATTTCTGTACTTTTAATATAGTCCTTCTACATTCTAATTTAGAGGATGTAGTAGAAGATCTCCCTGCCTCCTTCTTGTCCCTTCCACTTAATCTATCTGCCAGAGTCATCTACATAAAGTACAACCAGATCTTTTTAAATCGTTCTTCCAAAATTGTTAACACCTCCCCAGTATCTTCAAAATGAAATCCAAACTCCCTAACTTGGCATTTGAGGCCTTCTGCAATCTCTCCTTATTCTGCCAACAACTTCATCAATCAACACTCCCCTTGTGCTTCAGTTTTTCTTGATGTGATCTTTGGGCGTGTTTTTTCGTCGCTTCATTTAAATGTCGTCTTTGTGCTATGGCCTATCCTGATGACCTCATTTAAAATGGGACCACATTCCCCATCCTCCTTACTCAGTGTTACTTTTCTCCATTGCACTTATCACCTTCCAATATACTGTATAATTTACCTATTTTCTATATTTATTTCCTGTTTTCTCCCCAGAACATAAGCTCTGTGAGAACAAAGCTTTATGCTTAAGTTCTCTGTGATATCACCAGTGTTTAGAATAGTGCCCTACCTCCGTATGATGGCCATCTTTTCCCCTCCACTTAGATTTCCCTATCTGTTTGCCATGGCCTTGCTTAAATGCCAGCTCTTCTGAAAAGATTTCCTGCTGTCCTAAACTCAGGTGAAGATAATCTCTCCTCTGAACATAGATAGCATTTAATCAAAACCTACTTTCATATTGCTTGTATTTTGGTTATTTATGTATATGTCTTATTTTTTCCTACAAGTGTGTCTTAACAGGTTTCATCACTAACATCTTCACAATCTCAGTGAGAGGGTGCAGTCCAGGCTGAGGGACCCCACCAGTGCACGATTAGGCCGGGGAGGGGCCGCGGGAGGGCTCCAGAGGTGCCCGGCCCATCTCGCTCAGTACTGATCAGCTGGACCCCAGCAGCAAGCTAACCTACTGGTCGGAGCATCTGCCCCCTGGTGGTCAGTGTATGTCATAGTGAGTGGTTGAGCATCCTTAGCATATCATTAGCATATTAAGCTTTGATTAGTTGTTGGGTTGTTCTGGCATTCAGTCTATATGCATATTACCCTTTTATTATATAGGATGATTTGAATAAGGCAAAACCTCTATGAAAAGGGATTTTGATTTTAAGCTTATTTTGGGGGGAAATTAATTATGGTTTAAACTCAATGGACTGAAAATATCCAATAAGGAAAAAAATGTATATTGACATATTTTATTTCATATTCAGAGCCTAGACTAAGTTCTGTCATTGGCTTTTTTCACGTCACAGAAATTTCCATTTTCTAGGCGTCTGTGCCTTACAAATTGTTTATTTACCAACTAATGCCCTGTCAAGTTGTCTGAAATAGAATTAAGATTTGTAATATAATTTCTAATAGAATTAACAAAAATATAATTAAAGACACAAAGAACATGAGATTAATATCAAACAATATATGTAGATTTATTATCATTTGAGTGCTTTATTTTTCTGTAATGTATCTTGACATTAATTAATTATTTTATATTCAGTAGGATTGGGAGCAATGCTAGGGCAGTGCTACAAAAGGTCATAGGACTGAAAGCAAATTTGAGGAAGTTCTTACATCTCTTTATTCTCAAATTCCAAACAAAAGCCTCTATCACTGGATTATATTTGATTCCAAAGCTTTCTTTTATCATCATTTGCTTTACATATGCTGTCAATGAACTAAAAAATCTGGGTTTTAAGGAGGAGTAATTTATAATACTTGTTTTTAAGGAAGTATTTCCTCCTCACCCTCCTACTCTCTTCTCCTCTTTCTCCTTCTCCTCCTCCTCCCCCATTTCCTCCTTGACATCCTTTCCCTCCTCCCCGTTTTTCTTTTCTTCTCCTCCTTCTCCTCCTCCTGCTCCTCTATTCAAGGGAAGAGTATTTTCAAAGTAACTAAAACTGGGCCTCACTCGCTGGAAAACTAATAGCTGGTGTATTCTATTTCTTGAGGCTAGTTGAAAGCTAATGTTAAGGAACTTATAACTCTGATGGAATTATGCTCAAAGTCTCAAATGAATGTGTCTCGGAGAAATGATTGATATTGAACCCGGATAGCATCATGAAATTTTAAAGTGCGCCAGTTGAGTAGCCATATGGTGAGATGCAGTAAAATGCACTTTTCAAACTTTTCATGTAAAACCTTAAAATCTTGGCTTAGAACAAGAGTTTACTGCCTTCCCACCTGTTCCCATGTCGCTGAAAGCCTTTGGCAGGAAACCAGGCCCTGTGCTAACTTCCAGTGACACATACTCATTCTTGCTTCCTTCAGCTCTGTGCCCAGCCCAGCTCAGCCACCACAGATGCAGCTATGCTTAGAGCAAACCAAACCTACCAGTGAGATCAGGGTGGGTCTGATGGAGAGACTGCCAGGTGGAGCAGTTCCTAGGAGTGTGGACTCCTTGATTCCCAAACCTACTGAGGACCAGTATTAGAAATTTTAAAAGCAGAAAACTAGATATCCCTGAAGTACCCTTTATTAGAGAATGCTTTTTCCTCTGGTTTAGTCCTCTATCCCTACTATTGCCAACCTCTTGTTAATGGACTCAGTTCCTAAGGTTGCTGACACCTCCTCTGATTCCCATAACGACTGGCACACAGCGGTTTTCAGTAAATATTTATTGGGTGTATGAATAAAAATGAATAAATGATTCAAATGATTGATTTCCTATATGACCCTTTGTACTACAGAACTAAACTGGTAGTAAAATGATACTGTTTTCCAGTTTAGCTTAGGCCTCAGGGAATCACTGTATAAAATCTAATTATTTGATTTTCTTAGAGAGAGAGAAATCAATAGTACCAGGTCAGGATTAAAAGATAGTTTTTTGCATTGTTACCACCTTGGCAATGGTACCAGCCATTTACAAGCCACAAGAATTCCTTTGAAAATGAGGAAAACCGCCCAGTTTAAGCACAGTGAACATTATCATCAACCTGACGCTGACATGCCTGACTGTGAGGCTTCAGTGCTCCTGGTACATTTCCTCTAATCTGTCATTAGATTCCCTTTTTGACATTTGGAAGGTCTTAGGAATTGATTACTGGTCCTCAAACTATCATGATCACCAGTGGCAAAATAAAACACAAAAATGTTATATGATTCTTCTTGTATCTTTTATTGTTATCAGAAAACATCAGGTCGCTCCATGCCACATTATAATTTATCCAATTGTGTCTTCTTTTTTGTTCTGTAGTGAAAATGGAGAGAATTGGGAGTGGGGAATTTGGAGAAAAGAGGCAGAGAATTAATGTGCCTTATATAAAATCAGAAAGACATCAGACTAAATCAAAAGGAAATATCTGTATAGAACATTAAAACCTGTACTTTAGAACAATGTGCGTTAAAAACAAATTGAGGTGCTAGTTGTAGAGAAGAAAATCCAAATGCAAATGAGGAAAAGACAGCTATAAAATGTAGGTTGGTTGGCTGCTGTTCTGCCCAAGAAGCACTAGCTGGCATTAGTGTGAAATTTAAATTCACTTCTGTGCTGGTGATTGCCTCTTTGGAGCTCATTAAGCATTCTTTGGCACCAAATTTCAGACTGAGTAAAACCATGGAGCGTGATCTAGGCAGAAATTAACCTCAGGGTCTATAAGCTCCTGTAACTGAGCCTATAAGAAGTTGGTAATTTGTCCTGGAAGAAGATTCTCAAAAAGGGCAGAGTTTGGGGGAGGGAACTTAGAGTTTGACTCTCACAGCTGGATATGAAGCCAGTAGCGTTATGGGGCTTTGACTATATTAGCATTACCCTCTTTGGGGTGGTTCACTAATCTTTTGAGCTTCATCATTTCAGTTTCTGCTTGAGAGCTGGCTCTTCAAAAACTTTAAGTGACAATGACAGTCTACAAAATTGCTCTCTGAGAACAATTAAACAAAGTCAGAAGGCATGTAATATTTTTAGCAGTGGGTAAAAGGGATCATTTAACGATGACAGAGTGAAGCTCATAGTTTTTAAAATTGCTCCGACAGATCTGATTGATGTGACAGAGTTGAGATGATGGTTGGTTTCTACAGGCTAGCTCAGCCCAGATGGTATGCGGAGGAAACTGCTGATATAATGGATACGAACTTAGGAGCTACAAGGAATTACTCTTGACAAGAAAGTATCTTCTTGTTATTCAACAGGTGACTGCAGAAGAGATACATTGAAAATCATGTTAATGACAGCATTATGCACTAATAAAGTACAACAGGGAGAAAAAAAGCAATATTTAAAAAAAGACAGAAGAGTAAAACACCAAACATACAAATTTCTGGATATCACAGTTATATTGGTAATAACTTATTGAAATGAGGGCGTTAGGAAGTGGTCATCTATATATATGAAAGCCTAATATGCAAAGTGTCCCCTTGGGAGTTCAACCAAGAGACTGAGTTTGATTGCTTTCTATGACATGCACTGACCACCAGGGGGCGGCATGGAATGAAGGAAGGCCCTGGCTGGCGGCTGGCGGCTGGCAGCTGGGGAAGGGAGGCCCCAGCCAGTGGCTGGCAACCGCTAGGGGCCCTACCCATGTATGAATTTCATGCACTGGGCCTCTAGTTAATAATGAAATGAATATAGACAGGAAGAGATAGTAGCAATTAAGTGGACAACATGTTCTTATTACCAATGTTCTGATTGATTATGATTAACTACCAATTCTGAGGCTGATTCATTAACTCTTAAGGATACAGGCCTTAGGAGCAGAATACTGAATGAGACACAGATTTCCAAATCCTCTAGAAAAAAAGTTTCTTTATATCAAGCTCAGCTATATGTTAATTAATCAGAAACACACACCTTCACTGCTGTGATGTGTGGAGAATGTGTTACATGGAAGCTGTGCCACAGAAGAGGGAGAGTGGAAAATTGGGGAAAGAAGGCTTTTCTCATCTGCAAGGTCCCGAGAGCTAACCCTTTCTCATGTTTCATCACTGGATCTTTTCATAGTACTATAGAGAATACCTAGGCTTTGCAACCAAACAGGTAGAGGTGCAAGTCTGAGCTTCAGGACTCAGCAGCCACAGGAATTTTGGAGCTATCATTTACTCTATTCTCCTTTTACTATATGTAAAATGGGGCTGAAATAATAAACTAATAGGGTTGTTATGCAACATGCATGAGAAGAAAAAGAACATTGTTAAAACCCTGAGGTTTGAGAGTCCGGGAATCAAACCCACAGCCTTTTGATGTACGGGACAATGCTCCAACCAACTGAGCCACCCAGCTAGGATAAGAGTCTGGGTTTTAATCTTGGCTCAACTGCTTACAAGTTGGTTGACTTTGTGCTTTGTTTCCTCCTGGGTATCATGAGGACAATAAGTATCCAGCTTCTGAGTCGTAGTGGTGATTAATTATGTTAATGTACTAGCACCAGAGTGGTCCTGATATATGGTAAGCTAAATTAGCTATAATTATCAGTATGAAAGTGCCTGGGAAAATACTTAACACATTGTAAGTTCACAATAAAAGGAGGCTACTTTATTATTGGTATTTTTACTATTAGTTCCTATCCAGAAGGACTGCTTATATCACTATTTTTTTTAGAGTTTTT